CTTTCTTAACCAAATTGATATATGTTTCTAAAGTATGGTCTACAATTGGTGGATTGAAGCTACTTTGATTTCTCAGTTCAGTATCACACAATTTAAGACAGATATCATCAAAGGAAACATAGGCTTACTGAAAAATACTTGAGTTTCAAACTACGAAAAAATCTGCATAGATCAATATCGATGTCAAGAGCTTTGCGATTATACATAGGACAAAAACTCAAACGTTTTTCTAACACCGCCAGTTCTTCACTGGATAGTTCTTTTGAAGAAAGATTAATCACTGTATCTTCTTTATTTTCTGTGGTGCTTTGTTCTTCCACATCGCTGGTAGAGTTTTTGCTCTTGTGGCGACCCCTTCCGGGCCTTCTGAGATGTCTTCGCTTGATGTCCTCCTGGATGGGGGGGGAGGGGTTTCCCCTGAAAAATAGGTGGATTAATTGCATGACATATTTCCTTGAGATGAAGAAAAGGAGGTACCAGCCATATGTCTCTGCTTCTTTTTCTGCCTCTGTGTAGAATAGCTATAGGGGTTATTAACTTGATGCCATCTATATACACTATGGTTTTCATAGTCCCAAAGATCTCTCTGGAACTTTCCTTTTTTTACACTCTTCAATTATTTTCTTTAACTGATCCACATTAGTATCAATGTTATTCTTCACCAATGAGAGTCTATCCCCTTGCACATTTTTTTCTAAATCAGATTCAAGCTGTATAATCTCCAACTTGTTTTTATCAATTGAACTTTGTCGATTATTCTAAATTCAACAGCATCCAATCCATGGAGCATTTGTTAAAAATAGCTTCAAGTCTAGAACAATATGCAGGATTCTGTTTAAAGAGAGCAGGTTGTGCATGCAATCGCATTCCTCTTGGAATCCGCTTGGTTTTATAATATTCAGCTAAAGTGGTACTATGTAGTTTGTAACTCAAGTTTTTCTGGAGTGCTTTTTCCAAACTTTGACTTAGAGATTCTGTGCTGGGGGTATTCAAAAAAATCTAAATTGCCTTCAGCTGCCGACAATATTTGTCTTGCTTCCTCATCTGTGTAATAAAAAGTGCTGCTTGTGCTGGGTTGGTCATCGGGTTCCATAGTGCAAAAAAATAGTATGGAAATACTTATACTTTTAGGGCAAGTTTTGACAATAGTAAATAGGTAGAGATAGGGAAGGTGCAAAAAAAATTCCACAGTGTTTAGAACAAACCTTGAATAGCATATGTGGAACTGCACTCACTCCCACAAATCTGAGCCAGGGTGCTTGCTAAACCGGAATCCACCAGATTTCCAAACATTAGTAAAGTAATAGAGGTCCAGGCACTCCTTGGTTCAAGACAGGCACTTTATTAGGAACCAAGGAGTACCTGGACCTCTATTACTTTACTATTGTTTTTGCTATAACCATTGGTTACATGTACTCTTACTGTAGCTCTATCACTTCTATATAAGATACTGATTTATTTATATAGTTTTAAATGACTGTTTAGACTACATGCCCCTACTACACAGGAGAAATTCTCCCGCATGCCCCTACCTGTATATATAGAAAACAGTGAAAAAAGGGAAAATATGCTCAAAATCGCCAAGTGTGAATCACTCTAAATCACACAAAATACATAACATAACAATAAACAAGCAATATGGTGAGAGCAAAGTGAATAAACCAAATGTGGAAAATATAAAAAATACATGCAGTTTTACCATAAGTCTGTAGACATCCTAAAAATATAAAATACAGAACATAGTATAGCCTGCATATAACAGATGATTAAAAGTAGATAAAAAAATCTCCCACTTACGTGGTGCTGAGCCGTTAAGAAGTGGCTCAGACTAAAAAATTAAAGTACACTGGAGAGGGGGATGTAAAGACAATATTTTAAGCAGAGCAGAAATGAGATGGATGCTCAACCTTAACACCCTAACTCCAGATGGTCTAAATGTAGATTTCGAGATTACCTCTTTTTTTATGATGATACCTTGTATATGTTTTTAGATGGACTTATATTATATAGTTATTATTTATTTTATATTGTCATTTGAGATATACATCTTTTATGAAACTATTGAATTTTTATGGCATTCATGTTTCATTCATCTAATTATATATATCTCTGCCCTTTTTTCCCTCCGTTTTTTTTCCCCATATATGTATTGGATGATATATTTCATATGATTCATATACACATTATTTGTATTCCTTATGTTTTTTCTTTTCCTTTGAGCATATTATGTCAAATGTTTCTATATAGTTTTTATTATGGCATAGTATAAAGAAGATAGCTTCTTCTGTTATATATGGACTGTTTTATTCACGTTTTTTTAGCGCACACGCGCATTAAAAACATTTGTATCAAGTTATTATTTTCACCCGAAACAATCGGAAACCGGAAGTGAGACGACAAGGAGAAACAGTGCGCCTTTTTCGAGGATATTTAAACGTAAAAGTTTGTTATGATATTCAGCACTTTGATAAAGACCGTAGCGGTCAAAATGCGTCAGTGCAGCTTTGTATAGGAGATTCCATTTTAGCTGTATTTTATGTTACCAATAAAGATCCTTGTTCCTGTATCTACCTTCTACCTGGCGTTTATCTAAGCTATACAAGGGGAAGTAGCAACTTTACAGTGAGCATCTCGATCTTGGTTCCAGGATTACGGTCTCCAAATTGTTTGGAAAAGGTGCTTATAGTCTGAGCCACTTCTTAACGGCTCAGCACCACGTGAGTGGGAGATTTTGTATCTACTTTTAATCATCTGTTATATGCAGGCTATACTATGTTCTGTATTTTATATTTTTAGGATGTCTACAGACTTATGGTAAAACTGCATGATTTTTTATATGCCCCTACCTGTGCCAGGTCCTCCCCTCATTGCACAAGTAACTAGGCAGCAATAGCTGCCCAGTCACTAGTAGTTTTAGGCGACATGCCCCTACTCGTGGCATGCCGCAAGTAGGGGCATGAAGGAGGATTTAACCTCCCCTTTATTGATATGGGGGTCAGAGTGATCCACGTATGTTAATGGGGAGGGTTGGAACAGTTAATATTTATTACAAGGAGGGAGCTGGTAGCACTACCGGCTCCCTCCTTGCTTATTCTTTTTATGCTATTTAATGGACGCAAACAAATTATTTTTTGACCGAATTTATGGACTAAATCTGGTATAGACGAATTCAATTTGTCATTTAGTACGAAATCATTTGTACGAAACGAAAATTTGACTGATGCACATGTCTAATATTCTCTTATCGTCCCGTTGCCTCAGACCAAGGTGCATAATTTTGCGTCAAAACCAGCGTCTGTTTTTTTCCTTTTCTTTTGGTAGGCATGTATTTGAAGTGTGTTCAGTAATTTTTAACTGAGCAACTTTGTAGCTAGGTATAGCAAAAGAAAGAAGGGGTGAAGGGCTGCGCTAAATTAAAAATAAATAAAGTGAAAAATATATATAAAATAAGTGGATATTAAAATAATATAAAAATAATACAAATAAAAAATACAATAAGAAAGACAATGAATATATGGATGAAACAAAGTCCGTACACTAATAAGAATAAAACTTAAAAAGTCCAATAAAATGCATAAAAGGCGTCTCACTGATATGTAGATAAACTGTATGTACTGTCCTCAAAGGTTAATCCTTCCGAATTTCCAGGGAATCCGTTTTTGAAAGATAAGAACACAACAAACTTTCAATGGTATAGTATGTACTGAGAGAATTAGCGAAAAGAGGCGAAATGGAGGATAATACACTCACATTTGTTGGAGCTTTGGACCAGCTCTTAGTTGAATAGCACTTAGCGGTATAATCCCCGCTAATGGATTTACTGAGAAAGTGGGTTCATCCGCCCGGCTTGGGTTTCGTGGGATTCCGCAAGGAATATAAAATCAAATATAGTGCTCTCAGTAGAAAGAGGAAACAAAATATAAAATAAAATAAAATATACTCACAATGATAGAGCAGGGAGTACTGCTCTATTATTAACGCGCTGGTGGAATAATCACCACCTGTGGATTGCTTTAAACAGGAACAGTTGAATGCCAGAAAAAAATAAATAAAAAAATTTGTGTTTATACAATAAAACAAAATTGGTCCTATAAATGAGGGTACCAAATAAAAGTTTTTATTGTTAAATTACACAGTAAAAAACCATTTGACGCGTTTCACCTCATGGGCTTTATCAAAAATGGCTAAGAGCAATAACCTGGCATGGAACAGCTTATATAACAAATATACCATAATTGAAATTGGCGCCTAAAACAAGTGCACTAATTACAGACAAGGATTAACAGAATATTATGCATGTTTGTCAAATTAACAAAAACTAAAAATATTATATACATATGGATGGTATCTTATGTAAAATACAGTATTTTCATTAAAACGAGCGTTCGTTATTATAATTTGTGTTAAAGTGAGTCACATGATCGAGGGTATAACGCCGCAGCAAGTGACCGGCAGGGGCGAGCAAAGGCTCATGGGTAATGTATGCCGGTCACTGTTGAGATCTCTAAGCGGCAGAGTATCTGTGGGCGGCGAGAGACGCCGCGGCACGTGACCGGCAGGAAAGAGCAGAGGCTCTTGGTAAATGTAGTTGAGTTTCTGCCGGTCACTGCCAGAAATGATGAGCGGCTGATATGAGCGTTAATAGTCAGCCGTTCACCTTCTGATTATTTGTAATAGTATACACAAAACTAGAAAAGTTACAATTTCTGGGGAAATTGTGTGAAGTGTTCTTGCCTCCACCTGTAGTCTACAACTGGAGTGTGCGGAGTAACTGTTATCATTTACATAGCACATTTAATTGCAATGTTGTTGCACAGTTACATTAAACCATACATTTATAAAAACATTAGCAGGTGTTCAAAAGGCCCTGTCTATGACATCACTTGCTGCTGCAGCTTGACACAGGTCAGAGTATTTTGACGGTTGCCATCTTCAAATCTGCTGTCGTATCTTAAAAACTATAACTCCTACAGTGGAAGAGCTTTTTATATTGTGAGAATCACAAGACCTAGACCTACATTTTGATGCATAGTATGTCTCTGAAGTATTAAAATTGAAGGCACAGTCGCAGTTTAGAAATTGCACTTCAAATTTGAGCTTTGCAGAGTGAAGTTTCAATGAAAGTCAAAGGACGGCGTTAGTTGCAAACAAATGATTATATTGTGAAAACTATCAGGACTATGGCTTAGCCGTTGACATGTTTAGTGGCATGAGGGATAGCTGAACGTTTTGATATAAGATTTGTGTAGGTGGGCCTGAAAATAAGGGAGTGGTGGCAGTTTAGAAATCATGTCCTGATTTTTCAGTTTTGCCAGCTCCCACTCTAGCTTTGCCATTCATTCCTATGGGACTAATTTCGCCACAAGAACGACGATATTCCGTGAACCATTCGGCGAAACGTTCCACAAAGTAATAGCAATCCGAT